CACTGTGTCCTTAGCCCATGATCTTGGTATACTCCTTGCTCTCTGCTCAAAGGTACACTGCCACAGACCTCTAAACAAAACTTTAGCCTGCTGAAAGCCAATCTAGAAGCAATGGCTCAACAGATAACAGGCATTTTGTAACCTCACCCAGGTTCACAACATAAATAAAGAGATGTTCAACATCAGTGATCAGGAAATGCAAAACAAGAGTAAAACTAGGTGTCACTTTATACCCTCGCAAGGAAAGAAATCTGACCACACCAAGTGTCAGAGTGTGTCCATGGTGGGGGGGGTGTTTCATTTCCTGGGGAGACTATAAATTGATGTGTTATTTTGGAAAACAGTTTGGCTCTACTCCCAAACTTGAACATTCACACATTCATAGTCCAGCAGTTTATCCTGCTGTGTGGAAACTATGGAGAGGAGAATGAGGCTAGAAAGTAACAGAGAGGCCTATAAGGAAGATGGAGCCAGTCTATAAATGAGGCTGTCTGTGGAGGTAGACGGCAGCTATTCAGTTCAAGAGATATTTAAATCAACAAACCCTAGAACAGGAAGGTCATAGAAAATGACATCCAAATGGGCAGTAAGCATATTAAAATATGCTCACATTTGTTAGTTGTTAGGAAAATGGTATAACCACAATGAAGGACTACTACACACCCACCAGAATTTCAGAACTTGGATTTTTTTTTTTTTTTTTTTTGAGACAGAGTCTTGCTCTGTCACCCAGATTGGAGTGCAGTGGTGCCATCTCGGCTTACTGCAACCTCCACCTCCCAGGTTCAAGCAATTCTCCTGCCTCAACCTCCCGAGAAGCTGGGACTACAGGTGCACACCACCACGCCCAGCTAATTTTTGTATTTTTAGTAGAGACAGGGTTTTGCCGTTTGGCCATGCTGGTGTTGAACTCCCGACCTAAGGTGATCCACCTGCCTTGGCCTCCCGAAGTGCTGGTATTACAGGCAGCTTCACCTGCCTAGTTATAGGAAGGACAAGATTTGAGCAATCAGGGAAAGGTAGCCTGCATATAAGGCATTGTCTAAGAAGGTTGATAAAGGCTATACAACCCCTTCTCTTCCTACTTCCTTGGCCAGGCTCCAGCAGATAGAGTCAAAGGTTTCTTGTAGGATAGAAGTCCCTGCCTCAGCAGGGGCAGAGAGGCCTTGCAGCTGGGCTGGGCTGGGTGTGGCACTCTCCCTGCCCACTTCTACAACCTGGGGCAGGAACAAAAACCTGTGGGAGCCTCTGGCCACAGCAGAGCTCAGAGAATCTGCGGGAGCCAGGCTGACCCGCCAGCATGGTAGAGTTCGCGCCCTTGTCTGTGCCGTGGGAGCGCAGGCTGCAGACCTTTGCTGTCCTACAGTGGGTCTTTTCCTTCTTGGCGCTGGGTAAGTTGGGCTGCACTGTGGGACGGGAGACCACTGTACTCAGGTGGGGCAGAGCAGCCACACCAGGTGCACACGGCGGTGCACACGGCGCATTGATGGTGGGAAAACATTTATCCTAAAGGGGCCTTTATTGCACTCACAGCTCCTGCCCAGAGAGAACTCCTGGGCCTGCCCAGAGGCTTCTTGGGGGTGGAATGAGGTAGAAGTCACCGTGTGTGGCACTGGGCAGGTTATTTACCCTTCCTGGATTACACTGTGGGTTCTCCTTTGGCACTTGGATGGAGACCAATCTGCAGGCTGTCAGGTGGTGTGGGAAAGCCTCTGGGTGATGATGGGAGAGTTCTGGGCTCTGCAACCTGTTCAGAGAGGAGGGATTTTCCTTCTGTGCTCTCAGAGAGGAGGAAACCAGGGCTGGTAGTAGGGTAAGTGAGATAAATGGGAAGAACAGGAGGTCGGGGAGAAGATCCAGGCTGAGAGTAAACTGTGGAGTGGGCAAGCTGGGCACCAGGAACCCGGAGTCAGACTCAGCTGGGCAACTGACCAGTTGCATGACCTTGGCCAGCTCATGCCTGACCTCTCCAAGCCTCAACTTCACCCTCTGCAGAAAGGGGACAACAGTGCTGGCCTTGCAGGGCTCTTATGGAGGAGATGGAGAAATGGGCTGACCTCTGCTCAGCACAGACCTGGCCTGGGCCCTGGGCTGGGCTCACACTGGCAGGCATGGCCATGTCTCCTTGCCCACCCCACCACTGATGTGTGGCCAGAGAGACCACCCTTGCCCAAACAGAAGCTCTGCTGAAGGTAACATTTTCTGGCAAGGCCTGGATCTGGGGCTTGGGAAGAGAGAATGACTGGGCATCTGTGGGATTTTCCTTTCATCTGCTGGCACCAGACAGGGTAGGAACTGCTGCCTCCAGGGCTGGGGTTCAGTCTGTACACAGATACCACTTTCCTGGTTGTTAAAATGTTGACTCTCTCTCTCTCTGTCTCTCTCTCTCTCTCTCTCTCTCTCTCTCTCTCTCTCTCTCTCTCTCTCTCACACACACACACACACACACACACACACACACACTTCCTCAGAAACTCCCTCACAATTTTGTAGCTAAAAAATGCCCCCTTGGCAAAGCAGGCCCTCCAGGACCTTGCCCTAGCATCTCTTCTGATCGAGCTACATCTCTGTTCTAAGAGTTGTTAGACATTTTACACATCCCTGTATATCCTCCCTCCCTCCCTCTATCAACAACAAAAGTCACTGGTCACTGGAGGCAAAGGAACTGGAGCTCAGCAGGGTTTGGAAACACTGCATAGTTCAGAGTGGCCACAGACATGAGGCAGGAGCGGCAGGGAGAAGGCCGGCTCTGGGGCTCCTGGAGGCCAGGCTGATCAGCCAACAGCTCCTTCCCTCCTCAGCTGAGATCTGCATTGCGGGCTTCATAGCCCTCCTGTTTACAAGATTCTGGCTCCTCAGCGTCCTGTATGCGGCCTGGTGGTACCTGGACCGAGACAAGCCGCGGCGGGGGGGTCGGCGCATCCAGGCCTTCAGGTGCTGGACCATATGGAAGTACATGAAGGACTATTTCCCCATCTCGGTGAGTACTGAGGCTGGTTGGGGTGGGGGAGGGGGTTGGCTGGGGTGTGGTCATGGCCTGAGTGCTCGCATCTCCACGAGAGAGTATGGCCCTGCATGCATTTGGAGAGTACTGGGCTGGGAGGCAGGAGCTAGGGCTTCCGCTACTATGTGACCTGGAGAAGAGTCCAGCTTCTCTCCCATCACAGTTTCACATCTGCAGGGATGTGGAGCTAATACGCGGATAGATGAATGTCCAGCATTTGAAGGAGCTCCATGGGGTATATGGTGTGAGGCACACCAATGTATCTTAAAGGCATAAACCCATCAGCACCCCAGGCTTGGGGGTAAAGGTAATACACACACAGGTCCTAAGGACCATCTAGCCTCACACTCAATACTCACCGGAAGAGGAGGCTGACACTCAGAGAAGGAGGGAATGTCACCAAGTTCACACAACAAGTTCTTTTACAGATTTCCAAGTGTGTACACTGACTGTGGATAAAGGGACAGGGGAGAGAGCCCCGAATTGTTCTCAGATCCTACCCTGCTCCTAACTCTGGCATGTGGTGTATCTTTGGGCAAAGCCTTATCCTGTTCTGAGGCTCAGCTTCCCCATGTATGTAGTAAGTACACTGATCCCTCCTCCTCTGCATGCTTTCCAATCTCTGGCTTTCCAACCCCTGTTCCCTCGTGGTCATTGTGGACACTTGGCCCTGGACTTGAAGATGTGTCCAGAGCAGATCCCTGGATTTGAGACCTTTTGACTCCTTCAGTGGAATCCCTGAAAAGCCTTGATCTACGCAGCCAGGCAGTGATGGTTTATTGGCCAGATGGATAGGATGGGGCAGGCAGTGGGGATGCAGAGAAGGGACAGGCAGGGGCAGTTGGCCCTCCTCTGGAAGTAGAAGAAAGGGGTAAGATACAGCCCTTGGAGATTGGCAGACTAGATTTTGACCCCAGGTCTTCCCATGCCATACCAGCTATATGATCGTGGGTAAGTTAGTCTCTCTGAGCCTCAGTCTCCTCATATGTAAAATGGGGATAATGCCACATACCTCACGGGGTTGTGTAGATTCAATGAGGTGAAACAGGTAAAGCACCTTGCAGGTTTTCAGTAAACGGGTAGCTAGTATTATTTTCCTGAGGCAGTGGGACTCTGAGGAGACGTGGACATGACCTTGAATCTGGGAAGGACTCTGAGAGCCTAGGGCCCTGCTGCTCTGATCTCCACACCTGCAATGACTTCTCCCACCCCGTCTGGGAGCCCTACCTCTTCCTGTCCTTCCAGAAACAAGGTCTCCAGCTGGAAAGGGGGGAGGGGCAGGGAAAGCAAGCCCACCAAAGCTAAGCAACTTGTCTGAGTCATGGGAATGCAGGATGGTGGGGGCTCCTGCCCTGCTTCCTTCTGAGAGTCCTGGGCCCAAGAAGGACTAGCAAAGGCTGAGCCACACTGGAATGCAGGAGCTTCTACAGCCCAGTGAGCAGGGCCTCCGGGCAAAGGGCAAGGGAGGTGCTGGGCAAAGGGCAGGCAGCGGCTGGCAGAGACTGCCATGCTCACAAGGGGTGATAGATGTGGAAGGGCAGAGCATGGTCTAGCCTGGGGAACCCAGGAGGGGGGTAGTCTCCCCTGCCCCTCATATGTGCTTCCTCTGCGGGGCCCCCTCCTGGGTCTTGTCAGCAAAGAAACTTAGGGCTTGCTGGGTTCTAGGAGCAGCCGTGGACATGTCACGGGCAGAGTCCTCGTCACCACCCCAGAACCTCTGCACTTTGAGATTGACCTCCCTTTCCTGCCTCTCTTCTCTCCAGCCTGGGCTTCCTCTAGTGTGCCAGGAAGGTCAGAGCTTCACTGGGAAAGTGTACTGTGGCCAGCCTGGGGAGGTGTGTGTGACATCAGGGACCAAGCCAAAGAAACCCTGAAGCAGGTTTTGGCTCTGACCTCACTCCCTGCTCTGGAGCTGAATCCCAAGCTCACTGGGGGGAAAAGCAGCCTGAAAAAGCAACCACGCAATACAGGCCCAGACACTTGCCACAGGGTGAGTCCTGAGCCACAGCCTGACATTCAGCATGGCTAAAGCAGAAGGCAGGCCTGCAGATGAGGCTGGGGAGGTCCTCAGGTCAGAGAGTGGAGGCCACTGGAAGCCATCCCGCAGGCCTGGGACTGCTCATCTCCCAGGGTGTCTTCAGCCAGCCCGAGGGCCTCCAAAGACAGTAGCCGGCCTTCTTTGCACCTGGAGCGTTTCCTCTTGCAGGTCTGGCAGAAATGCTGAGGCAGCTCTATGCCTACCCTATCGACATCCTTCCTGCTCCTTCCCAAGTCAGGTGGCTCTTGAGGAGGGTATCTCAACCTTAGCACTGTTGACACTGGTGGGACACAGGCCTTGATTTACAGAAATGCTATGTGCACCGTTTTTTTTTTTTTGTTGTTGTTGTTGTTTTTCCCAGGATTCTCGCTCACTGCACGCCCCTTGCAGCACCACCTGCCAAGAGCAATGCCACTGAGTGGCCAGCAGAGGGCGAGATGATGGTCACTTTGACTTTGTCCTTAGCTGGGCCTGCGGGGTGGGGCTGTGGCCTGCAGACTCTTTTTCCACAGACCTGCCCACCCTCCCACACATCTTCAGTGCCCAGGACCTGCAGGGATCGTGGGGTGAGCAGACAGTAGGGAGCCCCAGCTCTGCTGAGCTCCTCTCATATTCACAAATCTCTGTGCTCCCCTGACACATGCATGTGGCCGTCCAATGATTTCTGAGCTTTTATCAGTTCTTAGCGTGTCTTTTTTTTGAACTAGTGTCTGGTGATGGAATTTCAAGAAAAATTCAGAAACCATTTCTGGGCCTCGGAACTTTTTAGTCACCCAGTCAACTTCCCAAAGAGCTAATGGTGGATGTCAGGCAATGTTTTGTGTGGGAGGAGCTGTTCCCACCAGATACTGAAGACCCACCCAGTCGCTGGGTTTCCCCGGTGCTGAAGATTTCATCATCCAGAGCAAATGCTGTCTCCACAGGCCAAGGCCTTAGGCACCAAGGGCTGTGGTCAGGGCTGTGACCTGCTGTTAGGAAATGCTGCCCACATCGTTCTGTCACTGTCAGAGCCAGGCTTGGGGCAGCGTGCAGGCCACCTCCCTGACCCCATGCACCCCTCCCTGTGACACAGCCTCAGCCCTTCTGCAGCCTTCCAGGCGCCTCTAGGGCCTTAGTGCCTGACCTCCTACCTGCCACCTCTCAGCACACTGGGGTCTCTTAACCTGAGTCAGTGAGACAGGTGGCTAGCTTTCATCCAGGACAGAAACCCCAGCTTACACAGTCTAGGATGCGTGCTTCCTTAGCAGTGGAGTTGCTGGGTTAAAAAATCAGTTATATTTTTTGGTTTTGGTAGATGATGTCAAATTGCCTTTATGAACGGCAAAATCACCCTCCCACTAAAGAGAATGAAAATTTATAAGCAGGTGTTTCCATGCATTGAGCTAGGTATGTTTTTAAAGAAACACCACCACACCAGGCACTGTGGCTCACATCTGTATTCCCAGCACTTTGGGAAGCTGAGTTGGGCAGATTACTTGAGGCCAAGAGTTTGAGACCAGCCTGAGCAACATGGTGAAACTCTGTCTCTACTAAAAAATACAACAATTATCCAAGTGTGGTGGCATGCACCTGTAATCTCAGCTACTCAGGAGGCTGAGGCACACGAATTGTTTAAACCTGGGAGGCAGAGGTTGCAGTAAGCTGAGATGGTGCCACTGCACTCCAGCCTGGGCAACAGAGTGAGACTCTGTCTTATAAATAAATAAATAGCAGAGGCCATGTCCTGGTCAAGGACAGGAGAATGTGGAGCTGTTCAGCTGGATGGGGCAGACAGGCTCCAGGCCCTACGGATGTCTCCAGTCTGCTCTGGGAGAGGGCAGCCAGGCCTCTGATGCTCCCCAAAGGCAGCAACAAGAACCCTCAGGGAGTCAGTGGATGAAAGTCACAGCTTGATGACAAGAAGAACTTTACACTGGCAAAGCTGTGCCAGAGGGGAAAGGCTTGCCCTTGACCTGAGGGAGTGCACATTGCAGGGCCGGGGCTGTCCTACCAGGGAGCCTCCCACTGGGGCATGTGGGATTGGGCCAGAAACCCTGGGGACCCTTGGATTCTGATGGCCAGGTCTCCCAGATACAAGGCACTGAAAAGGGTGGCCCCCGCGTTCCTTGCAATCACCACCCACAGCGATCATCTTTGCAGATTCAGCTGCTTGGCACAGCCCGTCCAGTAACTGGCCAGGAGCAGCATCTGTTAACTAAGTTCCCTCCTGCTTCACCTTCACCCCACTTCACCTAGAAGCTGCTAATGACGGCGGCTCTGTCTTACCCAGACTACAAAGTCCGTTGGACTCTGCTACATCCTCATGCTGCAGGCCAGGCCAGGCCCACGCAAGTTGCTGCGATGACCAGGGAAAGAGAGTGGCCAAGGGGCAATGAAGGCCTGGCGAGGGGGAGCAGAGAGCCACAGGGGCCCACAGCATGCCTACAGGTAGTCAGGGCCAGAGCCGCCCCTGGTGTGTATGCGCTTTTTACCCAGCAGGGCTCAGCCCTCAGCCAGTGAAGGCTCACTCCTACATCTGCAGCACCAATATTTCACTTCGAGACATCCAAGGGGGATTGGTTCCAGGAACCCCCCGCAGACACCAGAATCCACAGATGCTCAAGTCCCTCATATAAAATGATGTAATATTTGCCTATAACTTAGGCACATCCTCCCACACACAGTAACCCATCTCTAGAGTATCTATGATACCTAATACAATGCTATGGAAATAGTGGTCATACTGTGTGTAGGGTATACTGATAAGGGGAAAAAGTGCGTCTATATTCACTACAGGTGCGACAATCCATTTTTTTCTAAATACTTTCCATCTGAGGTTGTTTGAATCCGTAGATATGGAACCCACGGATATGAAGGAACATGTGTTTTGTTTGGTTTGGTTTGTTGGGTTTTTTTGAGACAGAATATTGCTATGTCTCCCAGGCTGGAGTGCAGTGGTGCAACCTCGGCTCACTGCAACCTCTGCCTCCCCAGTTCAAGCACTTCTCCTGCCTCAGCCTCCCTAGTAGTTGGGATGACTGGTGCCCACCACCACACCTGACTAATTTTTTTAAAATTTTTTAGTAGAGATGGGGTATCACCATGTTGGCCAAGCTGGTCTCAAACATGTTGGCCAGGCTGGTCTCAAACTCCTGACCTCAGGTGATCCACCAGCATCAGCCTCCCAAAGTGCTGGGTTATAGGCGTGAGCCACTGTTCCTGGCTGGAACATTGTTTTCTTAAAATGAGGCTGTTCCCGCACGGTGGTGCCCCCGTGTGGCCTTTTGATGGCTTCACGTTACATCATGTCCAGGTGGTGGTGGTATAAATAATTCCAGGCACCATGATACCTGAGCTTCTCAGTAGCCCTCGGAGGCAGCAGGGACAGGGCCAAATACTGTACTGCCACTTCACCGATGAGGAGCCTGTAGGAGAAGGAAGCAATTTGACTCAAGCCAACATCAAATCTGTGGCACGGCCAGCAGCATGGTATCACCAGGTGCTGTCACATACCGAATCTGAATCTTTGTGAGAACCCAGGTGGTCAGACATATGGATGAAGACCTGGAGGCTCAGAGGAGGGTTTCCCAAGGTCACACCAGTGAGTGGCAGAGTCAGGGTTGGCACACAGGTCCTGCCCTGGCTCAGCAGGTTGCTGTCCCTGCAGCTGGTCAAGACTGCTGAGCTGGACCCCTCTCGGAACTACATTGCGGGCCTCCACCCCCATGGAGTCCTGGCAGCCGGAGCCTTTGTCAACCTGTGCACTGAGAGCACTGGCTTCTCTTCCATCTTCCCCGGGATCCACCCCCATCTGATGATGCTGACCTTGTGGTTCCGGGCCCCCTTCTTCAGAGATTACATCATGTCCGCAGGTAAGTCTTTCCACCCCTGAGCAGCTCGGGAAGGTGACAGACGTCTCGGGGGGTTGCAACAGTTCTGTACTTCCTCCAAGAGCGTGTGCAGTAGGAGAAGGAGGCTGGGCCCGAAGAAGCACTTCCTACAGCACCATGCTGGGCGCTGAGTCCAACAGGGGTTTGGGAAGAGGGAGAGGGCTCCGGGAGCTCCTGGCTGGAATGGGGTACAGTGGGGGAACCCCAGGCCTCTGTAGGCATTGCTGGTGATCTCTTTCATGGGCTACATGTATTTCACAGCCCCCGTTCCCTCACCTCATACCTGACCCACCTTTCTCTTTCCCCAGGGTTGGTCACATCAGAAAAGGAGAGCGCTGCTCACATTCTGAGCAGGAAGGGTGGTGGAAACTTGCTGGGCATTATTGTAGGAGGTGCCCAGGAGGCCCTGGATGCCAGGCCTGGATCCTTCACGCTGTTACTGCAGAACCGGAAGGGCTTCGTCAGGCTCGCCCTGACACACGGGTATCAAGCCTCTGGGAAGAGCACTCTGGGTTCAGTTGGGATGGGAAGACGGCAGAGACGAATGCAGATTCTATTTTGGCACGGAGATTCTCAGTCCACTCACTATGAAGATTATATTTTGGTGTCTCATGTCCAAATACCTAGAAAAGTTTCCACAAGGGAGACTCAATGATCTAAGAAACTAGGTGGCAATGAACATATTCCCCAAAGCTGGCACTTGACCTGAGACCTGCTCTATCTAAAAGAGGGATATTTGGAGTACATTCAGAGCTGTTCTCCCCTCTTGGGGTGAAACGTCATTGAGAAACATGAGCCAGCCGAGATGGGAGATATTTTTCTAGGAAAAGCAATGCAGGTTTTTATATCCAGGAGGACTCCCTGAAGCATTCTGGTCTACCTTTTGTGGTGCACCTGGAAAGTTGTGGCCCTGCGAGGGACCTGCCCAAGGTCAGATAACAGGGCTATGAAGGTCTGGGAGATAACCCAGGCCTCCACTTCCAGCCCAGGGCACTGTCCTCTGCTCCATTTCTTGGTCACTGAGTCCCTGCAGGAAGCTAACAGGTCTTTCAGCTTGTGTGCCTTCTCTGGGGCCTCCCACATGCCCTCTTTCCTCTGTTTCTCTCCAGGGCACCCCTGGTGCCAATCTTCTCCTTCGGGGAGAATGACCTATTTGACCAGGTTCCAAATTCTTCTGACTCCTGGCTGCGCTGTGTCCAGAATCGGTTGCAGAAGATCATGGGCATCTCCCTCCCACTCTTTCATGGCCGTGGTGTCTTCCAGTACAGCTTTGGTTTAATACCCTACCGCCGGCCCGTCACCACTGTGGGTAAGTCAAGGACCAAACTGGGAGAGAGGAGGCTATAGGGACAGGGCAGGTTGTGTGCTGCAAGGGGTCAAGGAGACGGGCCAGATTTATTCCTGCCCTCATGGGGCTCACATTCTGGACTGGTAAACACGCACACAAGCAGATAGAATAGCAGACAGTCTGGGATAGGAACTATAACAGAGGTGCCAAGAGTAATAGTTGCAACCAATTGCTGAGCAGCTGGTGTGTGCCAGGCACTACACTACACTGGCTGCCCTAAATGAAGCAGCTCAGCTTATCCTAACAAGTGATTCTCCTGCCTCAGCCTCCTGAGTAGCTGGGACTACAGGTGCGTGCCACCATACCCAGCTAATTTTTGTATTTTTAATGGAGACGAGATTTCACCATGTTGGCCAGGCTGGTTTTGAACTCCTGACCTCAAGTGATCCACCTGCCTCAGCCTCCCAAAGTGCTGGCATTACAGGTGTGAACCACCACACCCAGCCATACCTTCAAGGCAGAAATTATTATCCCCATTCATTGATGGGAAATGGGCTCAGAGAAGTTAAGTAACTTCCAAAATATCACACTGTCTTTGAATAACAAAGTTGAGGTTTGAATTAGGATCTGACAATGCCAGAGATGGAGGGTTTCATCCTTTTTTTTTTGAGACGGAGTCTTGCTCTGTTGCTCAGGCTGGAGTGCAGTGGCACGATCTCAGCTCACTGCAACCTCTGCCTCTCCTGCCTCAGCCTCCCAAGTAGCTGGGATTACTGGGATTACAAGCACCCACCACCACGACCGGCTAATTTTTGTATTTTTAGTAGAGACCAGGTTTCACCATGTTGGCCATGCTGGTCTTGAACTCCTGATCTCAAGGGATTCCCCAGCCTCGGCGTGAGCCACTGCGTTTGGCCAGGAGGGTTTAATTCTAACCGAGAGGATCTAGTGAGCCTTATGTATGGTGAATAGGTATTCCAAGTATGTTACATTTGTATGTAGAGCAGCAGTCAATAGACTCTAAATCACATCCTAAGGGATTTTCCTGTAAGAATTGACCGTGAGCTTAACCCCATAGACATAAGGCCATTTTTTTCAGCTATTTGGACATCTCTTTTGCTTTCTTCTTAGATTCTAACTACATACCTCTGACAGACTGTATTTTTCTCTTGTATTTTATGAGACAGAGTTTCACTCTCGTCACCCAGGCTGGAGTCCAATGGCACGATCTCAGCTTACTGCAACCTCCAACTCCTGAGTTCAAGCAATTCTCGCCTCAGCCTCCCGAGTAACTGGGATTACAGGCGCCCACCACCATACCCAGCTAATTTTTGTATTTTTAGTAGAGACAGGGTTTCACCATGTTGGCCACACTGGTCTTGAGCTCCTGACCTCAAGTGAGCTGCCCACCTTGGCCTCCCAAAGTGCTAGGATTGCAGATGTGAGCCACCGTGGCAGGCCCCTGACAGACTTTACAGAGAGAAGTCCATTCACTTCATTTCCATCCATCCATTTACTTGCTAGGTGAGCACAGACTTTGGAAACCTCTACATCATGAACTCCCCTGTGTCGTGTGGCAATATTTTTATGAATTTTAATACTTCTGCTGCCTCCAGAGCTGTTGCCAAGAGGAAAGGGCAGAGGAGCTGCCTTCCCAGTCAGGCAGAACCAGAGAAAGGAGATGAGTTAGGTCCTTCCTGATTCTTCTCTGGGATGAGAGAAGCCACTTCAGGTCAGTGTGGAGGGGTAGAGGGGAAAGAAGAGCTGCCTGGGCTATGAACTCACCTCATCATAGAATTACAGCCACTTCCAATCTTGGCATCTTGGTCTCCCCAAATTATATAGCCTGAAGGTGAAGGGCACATCCCTAGGGTTTAAAACCTGGCAGTGGTTCTTCCTGCCTATGTGACCTCAAACTAGTCAGGGAACCTCTCTGGGCCTCATTGCCTCATCTGTCAGACAGGAATAATGACAGGTTTGTATACCCATAGCATTAAAGGGGATATTTCATGTAAAGCACCTAGTGCGTTGCCTGACATATTGAAATCCACCTGCTGGCTGGGTGTGGTGGTCCACACCTGTAATCCCAGCACTTTGGAAGGCCAAGGCAGGTGAACTACCTGAGGTCAGGAGTTCGAGACCAGCATGGCCAACATGGTGAACTCCCGTCTCTAGTAAACATACAATAAATTAGCCCAGCATGGTGGCGCATGCCTGTAATCCCAGCTACTTGGGAGGCTGAGGCAGGAGAATTGCTTGAACCAGGAGGCAGTTTGCAGTGAGCCAAGATCTTGCCACTGCACTCCAGCCTGGGCAATAGAGTGAGATGAAAGAAAGGGAGGAAGGGAAGGGAAAGAAAGAAAGAAAGAAAAAATCCAGCCATTGTTATATCAGAATCTTGGAGTTGCCCTAATGTCTTAAAATTCATTACCTAAGATTAGGGTTGGAAGGAATGGCAATAAGAGCACTTTTCTGCAGGGATGAACCATGGAACTGGGCACCTGCCTCAAGGGCCCCTTCCCTACCCTAAGCCACTGCCCACCTCTATTTCTCTCAGTGGGGAAGCCCATTGAGGTACAGAAGACACTGCATCCCTCAGAGGAGGAGGTGAACCAGCTGCACCAGTGCTATATCAAAGAGCTGTGCAACCTCTTCGAAGCCCACAAGCTTAAGTTCAACATCCCTGCTGACCAACACTTGGAGTTCCGCTGAGCACCTCCAGACAGAGGGCAGGGCCACCATCAGGGAGCCCAGCAGGAGGTGCTGTGCTCTGAGAAGACATCCTGGAGGTATTTGTTGAACATATCTGCAGAGCCTTCCCAGACTCCTACAAATCCAACCCATGCCAGGCTGTGAGTCATAGCAGGCAACTCAGAAGAGGAGATCAGACTCTGGCACTGCAATCTGCACTCCTGCTGCAAGCCTCCTGCTCCTTGGCTTCTGTCTGCTCAGCAGTGAAACAGGAGAGAGGGCTGGAAGAGAATAGTTTCTGAGGTCTCTGTTCTCTGTTGTAATGTCATTCAAATATTATAAAAGGAAATGTAGGGGAAAAAAGAGAACAGTGAGGTTTTTATTTCTCTGGCCTTGAGTAGCACACAAAAGAAGTCACCAGCTCCAGTCCTTTCTCCTATAAGCCCCGTCATCCTGCACCTCATCCTTCCCTCCCACCCTCAAAGTCTGCCCTCTGCCCTGAATCAGCCCTCTTTTGCATCAGGTCCTCCCTCCCCATGCTGGAGAGGAGGGGTGGCCAGTAAGCCCCTGCATTCACCTTAGGTAGCTTCAAGTTTCTGAGTTCTCTGGGTGATGGAGTGGCAGCCAGAGGCACTCAGAAGGTGGGTAGGGTGGACTGTGCTCTGTTACCAACTGACTGTATGACTGTGGGCAGCCCTCTTTTCCCTCCCTCTGAACCTCAGTTTCCCCAACTGACTCTGAATCTTAGCTCCGACATTACACAGGCTGAGGGCTCCATAGGGTGCTTCTTACTCATCCTTTATAACTTCAGCCCCTGACCTTGGCACAAAAAAAGGGGGCTCTGTAAATGTCAGTTCAACAAATGAGAGAATTATATTTTAGTACGCTTCTCTTTCTTTCTACCCCCAACCAAGAGGGCTGGTCAAAGCCTCACCCTTGACCCTCAGCCTGGGCCTGGGGCCCCATCTCACCTTCCCAGAAGCTGGATGAGACTGGGCCAGAGAAGACCATGCTGATCGATTCTTCCTGATGTAGCAACCCTAAGCTTACCACCTCTGGCCCCATTCTGTTGGGAGAGAAGTGTAGTCAATTTGTTAAGACACAAGACAGGCCAGCACAGATAATGGAAACCAGATGTGAGATGTGTGCATGTGTCTGCAGGGTTGTGGGGATGTTGGGGGGTAAGATGGGGATAGACTCCCTGATCAGAGCTCTAGATTCCTGGGTTAGGTACATACATCAGTAGGGAGAGGACAGAGGGTGGCTGGGTTGGACGAGGGTTTGTGACTCTCCCTCACCCTCTAGTGGGGAAACAGAGCAGATCACATCCATAACCACAACATGGGGGCACTTAGGTTTCAGTCCTGGCTCTGGCTCTGCCCCTTTTCAGTGATCCTGGGCAAGCCACTTCTCCAAACCTCGATTTGTCATTTGAGACATAAATACTATAGTATCCATGTTCAGTTTGTGAGATAACAAGCTATTCCATGTTCTTTGTGGAATGATGTGCAGTATGTGTGTGAATTAGAAGCCAGGTGGCAAAGGTACCCAATGTCTCATGAAAGTGCCTCTTATTATCCTACTAGGCAGCATGGACTAAGGGTCACAAGAGGAGCAGGAAGAAGGAGCAATGGAGTTCAGAGAAGAGAGGGATGATTTACAGCCGAGGGCAGGACTTTGAGGGGGTGACATGTGGGCAGGGCCTTGAAGGAAGGATGAGATTTGCAAAGGAGATCAATAACTGCCATATTAGTTACCTACTGCTGTATAACGAACCACTTCAAAACTTAATGGCTGACTGGGCATGGTGGCTCACACCTGTAATCCCAGCACTTTGGGAGGCCAACGTGAGTGGATCATTTAAGCTCAAGAGTTTGAAACCAGCCTGGGCAACATGGTGAAAAAATGTAATTTTTCTCTTCAAAAAAAAAAATAATAATACAAAAATTAGCCAGGCATGGTAGCTAAATATCTATAGTCCCAGATATTTAGGGGACTAAGGTGGGAGAACTGTTTGAGCCCATGTGGGAGAGGTGGCAGTGACCAAAGATTGTGCCACCATACTTCAGCCTGGGCAACAGAATGAAACCCTGTCTAAAAGACAACAGCAACTTAATGGTTGAAAAGCACGAGGATTTATTACTTCTCACAATCCTGTGGATTCTCTGGGTGGTTCCTCTTGGGTCTTGCATCTGTATCCAGCCAAAGGGTCAGCTGGGGCTGGGACAGCTAGGGATGTTAAAAGGGCTAGGCCTGTCTTTGCACATGGACACTGGGTCTATCTCTATACTGACTGATCTGTTAGCAGTCAATGGTGATTGATTTCAAAAAATGAGAGCCAAAGCTTCACAGACTCAAGTCTTAGGCTACACACCTCACAAGCATAACTTCTGCTGCATTCTGTTGGTCAAAGCAAGTCACAATCCAGCAGATTCAAGGAGTAAAGAATGGAACCCCTCTCTGGATGCGAGGAGCAGCAATGTTACACTACAAAAGGGTGCAGACACATGCAGGGATTCTTACTGCCACCTTTGCAAACAATCTACCAAAAATTAAGAACTAATAGCCTGAAGCACAACCACTCCCAACCCCAGGCACACACACCCTGGAATTCCCTGTGTGACCGTGGCAACAACATTGTATATCCCAAAGATCCCAGCTCTGCCTCGCATCTCTGCCCCATCTCCCTCTCCATCTCCCCCATTGATCCCTCATGCATGGCCATAGCGAGCTGTCTAAAACACAAAGCTGACTGCGTCATTCCCTACTCAGCCTCCTTCCATGGCTCTCCATTGCTCCTAGGATAGGGTTTGGACCAGTCTGAAACCAGAGGATCAGGATCCGGCAAGACCAGAGGATAATTTGAGGACGGTTTAAAAAGGAACTTTTTTTTTTTTTTAATGGAGTATCAAGTTGAATGATGAATCATCTGTGTGCAAAAAAAAAAAAAAAGAAAAAAGAAAAGAAAAGAGATGGAGTCTTGCTCTGTCGCCCAGTTTGGAGTGCAGTGTTGCAATCTTGGCTCACTGCAACCTCTGCCTCCTAGATTCAAGCAATTCATTCTTCTGCCTCAGCCTCTAAGTTGCCGGGATTACAGGCATGCACCACCATGCATGGCTAATTTTTGTATTTTTAGTAGAGATGGGGTTTTACCATGTTGGTCAGGCTGGTTTTGAACTTCTGACCTCATGATCCACCCGCCTCAGCCTCCCAAAAAGAGTAGACTTCTCTGTCTCCCAGTGGACTGGGGACCCCCCTTAGGCTCTTATTTATGGTGACTTCAGCCCCATCCAACCCAGCTCTACTGCCCAGCACAAGACCTCAGCATCCCCAGTGAGTGGGAATTGGTTGAGTAAATGAATTCTCACACATGTGCTTCCTCTCAGTCCCACCCACACCAGGCCTGGGGCAGGGATCAGGGGAAGAAGACACAGGCCTTGCCTCTGAGGTGATTAAATTGGTTATCTATCACTGTATGACAGACCACTCCAAAACTTGGCTGCTTTAAGCAACAAATCCCCATCGACTCTCGGTTTCTAGGGGTCAGGTGTCTGGGAATGGCTTGGTGGAGTGGTTCTGGCTCAGGGTTTCTCATGAGATTGCAGCCAGGCTGGGGCTGGGGCTGTGGTCTCTGAAGGCTTGAGTGGGGCTGTAGGACCTGCTTCCAAGCCTACTCGTGTAGCTGTTGGCAGGAGACCTCTGTTGTTTGCTATGTGGGCCTCTCCACAGTGCTGCCAATGACATGGTTTTTCCCAGCGTGGGTGAGCCAAGAGAGAGAGGCCACACTGCCTTTTATGACCTGGTCTCTGAGTTCCACACCATCAATTCTGCCTTACTCTCTCCGTTAGATGTGAGTCACTAAGTCCAGACCATACTCCATACAAGGGTGTGAATACCTGGGGGTGGGATCCCAAGAGCCAGCTTGGAGTCTGGCTGCTGCAGTGATAGTGGATGAGCCTCAGAGACTAGACTGTGCCACGCCGATGCTGCGTGCTTCTGCACAGGACAGCTTGACTTGGAAGACAGAGAATGAGCTGGCCATATAGAGGGGACCGAGAGGGGTGGGGGCAAGAGTTTGAGCAAAAGCTGCAGGTAAGAATAATGACTGTAACCCCCAAACCTGTACCAGGATGGAGTACAAGGTGGTCATTAGACAGAGGGGTGCCAGGACACAAAATAGGGGGTTGGGGAGAGACCTGAAGGGCCAGAGGAAAGAGGTCTCTTCTTTCACAGCAACCTCGGAGGCCTCATGTTGAAGACATCAATAGCACAAGATGGAAGGAGTATAGAGCCCTGATCTCAAAGGAGGGCTGCCCAAGAGAGCCACCCAAGCAGGAATATCCACACTGGACTTTGTGTGTGAAAAAACATGACTTTTTACTGGCTCAAGCCACTGAGGTAGGAGTGTGTTTGTTATAGCAATTGGCCTCTCCAACTAATGTGCCAGGAGCTATCCACATAAGGACTCAATTACTCATTTAGCACGTCCTAACAATGCGGGAGCCTCACCCTCGTGTGGGAAGGCAGCCTCCTCCTGTCTGTACACACACAGATAAGGACAGCAGAGGATGGCAGGATGTGTCGGGCCTGGTAAAGAGGGTCAGAGGCCCTCAAGTAATGGAGACAGCTGGAATCTCTTCCAGAAATCAGCCTGCACTTTGACCTGGGGAGAAGTTCTCAGACATTATTTCCCAAGGGGACAAAGGGCCTGCTGAGGCACAGTCCCTCTGATACTGCTTTGTGGTGACTTGGCAAGGGGTCTGCCAGTGTAGCACAGCCAGCAGCCACGTGGCAGGGGCAAGGCTGCCAGTGCAAGTCAGGTCCACTTGCTGAGTCTCAGCTCACAAAGGGACTGTGTTTTGTGAGGGTTCAGAGGCAGGAAGGAGGGAATAGGTCATCCAGATGGAAGCTGCTGAGTGAGCAAAGACAGAGGGGAGGGAAAGTGCAGGACAGACATTGACGATAGCTGCAGTTGTGATACAAGATGCAAGGGTGAGTGTCAAAGAAAAGGAGGCTAGAGGTAGGTCAGTTTTTTTTCAGAAAACTTTTATTGAGTCCTTGCTATGTGCCAAGTGCTGGGGACAGACTGGCGACCAAACTGGATCAGGTCCCTGGCTTTCCCTTGTCTACTGACAGGTGGAAGCCAAATGTCCAGTAAGGAGTCAGGAATTTCTCCCTGAGGGAGGGAGGAGCCCCGGAAGGTCCTTGAGCTGGTGTAGGTCAAGGGCTAGGCCACAAGTGCAAAAAATGCCTTGGGTTGAAGTGAGCATTTGTCTTAACGACCTCGTGGAAGGACAAAGTCAGCACCTCCTAATAACTCTCCTAACAACTCTCGGGCCCTCAGGGCTGCATTCATTGAGGATCTACTATGTGCTAGGCTCTGGATGGGATGCTCTACATGTATTATGTCAATGACACCCACAGTGACCTCTTTATAATAGATGACGTTCATTTGTCAGAGAGGTTAAAGGACTTTCTGGAATCCTGGCCCCAAGATGTGGACTGCCTGCCCAGACAGCTATCACATGCTCCTCACACCCTGCCGGGTTCTGACCTCAGACCCAGTAGATTGACACAATGGAAATGGCAGAGGCTGGAGAGCCAGCCAGGCTGTGGGATGGACCCTGTGCAAGTCAGGTACACTTGCTGAGTCTCAGTTTCTTCATTTGTAAAGGGTTTTTCCACAAATGGGTGTTCAATAAATGTCAGTACTTCCTCCCTCTTTCCTGTTATAAATTCCAGAAATGGTTTTTGAAAGACCTGTGAGAGTTTACGTCTATCACAAACGAGGTTAGGGCATTTCTTAGACTCTAGAGTCCCTTTACTCCCTGCTGGAAAACCAGCCTGAGTGTTTCCATTTTCAACAGCTAAGCTGGTGCACACCCAGTCACATCCTTAACAAGAGGGTGAAGAGAAAATGATGGTAGGCAGCTCGTTTCTGGCAGCCCCTTTTAAAGCAGACCTTAAAAGAACAAAAAACAGCCACAAACCCCGTCCTGATCAATAACATGTCAATAATTAAAGATCAAAAGAGGCTCACCTCTAAAAAAATAAAGTTAAATTGTTAAAAGCAAAAGCCTCCATTTGGGGATGCCCTGTCAATGCTTCTTGAAATGCTTTTGATAAAGGACCAGATTTTTGGTTTTTCCTTTTTACCAATCCTTCATGGACCTATCTATTTTATAAGGCACAATATAAGTTACTAGAAAAATGAGAGAAGAAAACCTAGACATACTATAACGTTTTATTATTAGTTTCAAATGACATAAAATTAGTGTGCCATATTGCTCTGAAGTTTCCTAACAGTTCCACTCCATTCCTGTACTTATTTTGTCAGGAACCAGGAACAAGCTGTTCATGGACGTGCATTGGTCCCCAGACCACACTCGAGTAATGCAGCACTGCCCTAGAACTTGTGGCTAACTGCTGGCACTGTAAGATTGTTGCGAGTTAAGAAACACAAAACTAACCGGTGAATTGCAAAGTGCTGTACACGAATTGGTTAGGGATGTCATCTTAGCCACTTTCATCAGGTAAGCTGAGAAGGCTCCTAGAAGGGCAGGACTTGCCTGAAGTCACGTAGTTTGTAAGTGGCAGATGCATAACTGGCCTCCTAGCTCTCATCCAGGGCTCTTCCTATTCTGCCTTGGGCAGTGGGTACTAGGATGTGTCACCCAAGTGCATTTTCAAGGAAGAACTCCATTCCCAGCTGCAGTAAGTGCGGTCTGCCCCTTCTGAGATCACCTCTATTGCAGAGAGCTGCTTGTGCAAAGGCATATAGCCAATGACTGATCCAGCCAGGGTATAAAGGCAGGGCCACTTCAGCCAAAATCAATACAACTCTGATGGGCCATTTCAGATTGACTTCTCCCTCCATCCAATTTTGCTGCCTTCCCTTCCTTCTCATGGTGTTGACTCCAAAGGTTCTGTAATAAACATCCTGCAGGCTACATACCATCTCAGAATCCACTTCCTGGAGAACCCAATCTGTGACATCATGGGTATGTGAAGAAGTAAATCCCAGTACAAGGGTCAGAAGGGTTAACTAATTTGTCTGCAGTCACACAACTTTAAGTGGTGGAGCGAGGATTTGAATTCAGATCTGACTGCAAAGGCTGTATTTTTGTCTGATACAGTGTGACCTGACTACCAGCTTGGGAAACAAAAGAAAGGATCAGAAAAGTTGGACTTAATCTGCAAAATTAAAAATAACTCTTATTTATTCCAAATGGCCCAGCCATTTTAGAAAACAGTTTGACAGATTTTCATAAAGTTAAACATAGGCTTACTATACAACCCAGCAATGGTGCTCTTAAGTATTTACCCAAATGATTGGAAAACAGGTCTACATAAAAACCTGCACATGAATGTTTATGGGCACTTTATTAATAATCACTCAAAACAGGAAGCAACCAAGATGTACTTCAATAGGTGAACGGATTTTTTTTTTAACCTGTGGTTCAATCCATACAATGGAATCTTATTCAGAAATGCAGATAACTGAGCTATAAATTCACACAATGCCTGGATGAATCTTAAGTGAATTTTGCTAAGTGAAAGAAGCCAGACCAAAAAGGCTACATACTGTATGATTTCACTCCTGTGACATTCTAGAAAAGGATAACATAGAGGGACAAAAAACAGATCATCTGTAGGAAGCCTATGGCTGAGGAAGCACTGGGAACTTTCTAGGGTGGTAGAACTAATTTCTATGGTATTATAGTGGTGTCTACTTGATACTATGCATTTGTTAAAACCCACAAGGTAGGCCAGGCACGGTGGCTCACACCTACAATCCCAACACTTTGGGAGGCCAAGGTGGATCAATCACCTGTGGTCAGGAGTTTGAGACCAACATGGCCAGTGTAGTGAAATTCCATCTCTACTAAAAATACAAAAATTAGCCAGGCATGGTGGCGGGCACCTGTAATCCCAGATACTCAGGAGGCTAAGGTAGGAGAAGTACTTGAACCCAGGAGGCAGAGGTTGCAGGGAGCTGAGATCATGCCACTGCACTCCAGCCGGGGTGACAGAGCGAGACTCCATCTCAAACAAAACAAAACAAAAACTACCCTACAACGTAAACTTTAATGTAGAGAAATTAAACTTTTAAAATCAATCAAAAAGTTGGGGTATCTCAGGATAGAATGCAGACTGAGATGATAAAAGAATCTCAACTGTCTTATGAATGCATGAGAAAACTTCACTGAAGGGAGTGGAAGAATACAAGGCTGACCAAAGTAACTCTGGGAAAGAATATTTTGACCAGAAACTGCAAGACTGATGTAAAAATACAATGTCTATTAAACTACATTGTAGTTGGTAAAGCTGAATTTCTCATGGGGGTGCAGGCTAACAAGTCTGAAATTGCTATACATGGGTTACAATTGAACACATAAGTAAATAGATGGCAGGGGCCAGTTTTCCCACTGTTGCAGAGGGAGGATGACTACAATGACCCATGTGGATCCCAAGTAGCTGAGATTACAGGTGCCCACCACCATGCCTGGCTATATTTTGTATTTTTAGTAGAGATGGGGTTTCACCACATTGGCCATGCTGGTCTCAAACTCCTGACCTCAGGTGATCCCTCTGCCTTGGCCTCCCAAAGTGCTGGGATTGCAGGCATAAGCCACCATGCCTGGCCTTCCTTGTGGGTTTTAACATATGCATAGTATTAAGGGATTAGAGGGAGACATCAGTATGAACTCACGCTTAGTTTAATATAGACAGAGCTAGACAGATCCAATTATAAATATGTATGTATACAGAGGAAATATATGTCTCCTAGTTCTGTCTTCTGAGAGGGACTAGAAACAATGGCACCCAGTAGCAACTAGCACACTGAGAGCCTGAATCTTGGTTTCTAATACCTTTCTCTAAGAAAATGATTTCTGGCTGGGCATGGCGGTGCATGCCTATAATCCCAGTACTTTGTGAGGCCAAGGTGGGCAAATTACCTGAGGTCAGGAGTTTAAGACCAGCCTGGCCAACATGGTGAAACCCCATCTCTACTAAAAATACAAAAATTAGCTGGGCATGGTGGCAGGTGCCTGTAATCCTAGCTACTCGGTAGACCAAGGCAGGAGAATTGCTTGAACCCAGGAGGTGAAGGTTGCAGTGAGCCAAGATCATACCACTGCACTCCAGCCTAGGTGACAAGAACAAAACTCTATCTCAAAAATAAAATAAAATAAAATAAAAACAAATTTAAAAAGGATTCCTGAGACACTTAGAGAAATGCCTGATTCTGGGCAGGGTGCAGTGGTTCATACTTGTAATCCCAGCATTTTGGGAGACTGAGGTGGGCAGATCACCTCAGGTTGGGAGTTTGAAACCAGTCTGATCGACATGGAGAAACTCTGTCTTTACTAAAAACACAAAATTAGCCAGCATGGTAGCATATGCTCATAATCCAGCTACTCAGGAGGCTGAGGCAGGAGAACTGCTTGAACCCAGGAGATGGAGGTTGCAGTGAGCTGAGATCACGCCATTGCACTCCAGCCTGAGCAACAAGAGTGAAACTCTGTCTCAAAAAAAAAGGCTGATTCTAGGGCTGGGCAGGAAAAATACAAGATGAGCCTAAAAAATCTTGTAGTGCCAGAAAGTAAAGAAGTGCTTAAAGAAACAAAATGATGATGATATCTCAAAAGAACACAGGAGTCAAACTGAACAAGCTTCCTATGTCCACAGCTGGATCAATTCAAGCAAGAAAATAAACAACATAGTACTGGGATTATAATCCAAAGTGCAAAATAAATATCCATGAGTACATACTGATATAAATGATTGAATAATAAATAAATGGAGAGAAGAGATACATCTCCCTAAGAGAAGAATCCCAAATAACTTCTGTAGCTCCCCTCTCAGGGTGATGGAGCTGAGCCCTCTTCCAGTTAAATTCTGATGTGCTTATAGACTTGCTCCCAAGGATAGCATAGGGAAAGAGCTGGGTGTGGAGGGAGGGACAGGGAGTAATTTTACAGTGAAAACACCTAGAAAACACTACCTCTGCCAGGTGATCAAGGTTAATATTACCAGTGATAAGTCATGTTGATAGTAAGTACCCTTGATGTGATGTGATGAGAATGGTACGTCATTCCTGTGACCTTCCACTCCAAATCCCATAACCCCAGTCTGATCAGGAGAAAAACATCAGATAAATCCATATTGTGGAACAGCCTACAAAACACCTGACCTGAACTTCTCAAAACTAAAAGTCATCAAACACAAAGAAAACCTGAGAAACTGCCACAGACGAGAAGAGGCTAAGAAGAGATGATATCTAAATGAAATACAGTATCCTGGATGGAATCCTTGAACAGATAGAAGTCATTAGGAAAAGCTAGTAAAATAGGAATAAAATGAGTAGTTTCAATGATAGTAAAGTGCCAATCTTGGGCTCTTTAGTTGTGACAAATGTGCAATAGTACAGTAAAATGTTACAGAGGATAACATTTAGGGTGAAAGGTATACAGGAATTTTCTTTACTATCTGTGCATCTGTTCTGTACATCTAAAACTATCCTAAAAGTTTACTTACATTAAGAAAAATTGCTGTGAGATGTCATATTAGCTTTCTGCAGCTGTTATAGCAAATTATCACAAACCTGGTCACTTAAAAAAACAGAAGTATATCCTCTTACAGTATGGAGGCCGGAAGTCTGAGACCAGTGGCAATGGTGTCAGTTTTACCAGGGGCCAGCAGGGCCACTTCCCTCCAGAGGCTCCAAGGGAGAATCTGTTTCCTTGACTGTCCAGCTTCTAAAGCTACTTTCCTTGGCTCATGGGCTCTTCCTCCACCTCCAAAGACAGCACTATCTTCGAATCTTTCTCTCTGCTTCCATTATTACATCATCTTCCACCCTCTGTGTCTCATAGAATCTCTCTTTCCTTCCAGAGCCTGTCCAGATCATCCAGGATAAGCTCCATCTCAAATTCCTCAACATAATCTCATCTGCAGAGCTCTGTCAACCATTTTTGCCACGTAAGCTAACATCTACAGTTCTAGAGACTCCAATGCAGGTATCTTTTGAGGGGCCATTTTTCAGCCTACCACAGGTGCTAAGTAACTTCTTCATTCTCTCTGAGCCTCAGATTCCTCATCTGGAAGTGATATATGCAAATATGAAGTAAATTAGGAAGGCTGATCTGCCACTGGACTGGTAGAAGGGGAAGGCAGGAGCTGAAGAGCACCTTGTCTTGGGCAAATGAGACCTGACACTACTCCTCTCTTCCCCATGTGTTTCTCCCCTCCACACTGGCCAGAGTTCCTGATGAGGACGTGGTAGTACAAGCAAAGAAATCTGGAGCTGGAGCTCCTACGATCTGAGTTCAAGTCCCAGCCCTGTCAGCAACTTGCAGCATGACCTCAGGTAAATCACTTTCTGTATCCGGAATACACAGCGATTCTAAGAAGCACGTATATGTCAATTCTGCCCTGGGAAAGGGCTGGAGAGGGACTACTGAGATCCCTCTTGCCCTGAGAGGTCATAATTATGGGATGTTTCTATTCCTGGTGTCTTCCTACTGACTAAAGGATCTAGGTCCCTCCTTGCAACTAGAGCCAAGTGGAAGCAGCAATGCTTAGTAACGGTAGTAATGGTAGAGATTTAGGCACTGTGGCTTGTGGGAGGGTGAAGAGGGAAGGGAGGAGCCTCCTGTTTCTCACTTACTTCTCGCAAGGTCCTGTTAGTCTAGACTAGGGGTCAGCAAGCTACGGCCTCTGTTTGAATGACCTGCGGGCTAAGAACGGTTTTTACAGATGAACCTTTGAAATCAAGGTAATGAATGATAGGGAAGCCTAACTTTGAGCCCCAGTCAACCGAAATGTCATCATCCAAAAAAGAATTTCATTCTTCTTATTAGAAGACCTATGTTACAAAAAATTATACTCAATTATTTACTTTGGGTTTACAGTTAAAATGTTGTAGCCAGGTGTGATGTCATGCACCTTAGTCCCAGCTACTCTGGAGGCTGAGGTGGGAGGATCGCTTGAACCAAGGAGTTCTAGGCTGTAGAGTGCTATGCCAATTGTGTGTTTGGCATTAACACGATGACTTCCTGGGAGCAACTGTTGCCTAAGGAGGGGTAAACCAGCCCAGGTCAGAAATGGAGCCGGTCAAAACTCCTGTGCTGATTAGTAATGGGATCACACCTGTGAGTAGCCACTGCACTCCAACCTGGCAACTTCATGAGACCCCTCCTCTTTAAAAAAAAAAAAAAAGCAAAAACAAAAACCAGCCAGGTGCAACGGTTCACATCTATAATCCTAGCACTTTGGGAGGCCGAGGCAGGCCGATTGCCTGAGCTCAGAAGTTTGAGACCAGCCTGGGCAACACAGTGAAACCCCATTTCTACTAGAAATACAAAAAATTAGCCAGGTGTGGTGGTGGGCACCTGTAGTCCCAGCTACTCAGGAGGCTGAGGCAGGAGAATCACTTGAACCGGGAGGCAGAGATTGCAGTGAGTCGAGATCACACCACTGCACTCCAACCTGGACGACAGAGTGAGACCCTGTCTCTAAAAACAAACAAACAAAAATATCTTGTAGAAACACATTTTATCACTTGTTGTATGAATACTTGCATAATATCCTGGACTTTGCCTTTAGGCCTGGAAAGCCTCTATCAGCCCCCAATTAATGAGTTGTCCTATCTTCCACCTGAAATCTGTCTTAAGCCATCCACTTTCCACTTTGTAGCCAGAAGGATCCTTGCACGTAAGTCTGAGTATACCATTCCCGTGATTCAGACTTCCCAGGGCCTATCTGTCCAGCTCCTTGGCTGGCGTACAACCCTCACACTCTGGTTTCCGTCTTCCTTCCCAGCCACTCCCTACTGTTCAGCCATATTGAACTTCCAGTTCTCTAGAGCACCATGCTTCCCCCAGCACCAGCGGGTTTTTTTTGTTTTTGTTTTTGTTTTTCCTGGAGTCTCACTCTGTCACCCAGCCGGGAGTGCAGTGGCGGGATCTTGGCTCACTGCAACCTCCATCTCCTGGGGTTCTCTTGCCTCAGTCTCCTGAGTACCTGGGACTGCAGGCATGCACCACCGTGCCCAGCTAATGTTTGTATTTTTTAGTAGAAACGGGGTTTCACCATATTGGATAGGCTGATCTCAAACTCCTAACCTCATGATCCGCCCACCTCAGCCTCCCAAAGTGCTGGGATTACAAGTGCTAGCCACTGCCTGAGGCCAGCACCAGCATTTTGCACAAGCTGTTCCCTCTGCCTAACATGGTGTTTACCGCCCAAGTCCAATTCCTCTTGGTCTTTTAAGTTATGTTAGACATTCACTACTCCAGAAAACCATCCCTAATCCAACCTCCCTCCAGGCTGTGAGATGCCTCCTCTGGGCTTCCACAATTCCCTGCTTCCTTCCAGCTCAGCACTGATCAAATTTTTAAAATGTCTATGGCCTCCACCAGACTGGGAGGCCCTCAGAGCTAAGGTTGGTCTGATTATGCACTGATGTCCCCACTTCCCAGTGGCAAGGCTCCTGCTAGCTCCTACAGTTTGGGAAGGGAGCAGGAGCTGGGTGTCAGGAGGCCCAGTTCATTTCCTTCCCTGGACTGCAGTCCCTCATCTGTATGATGAAGATTGAGGGCCACTGGCTGATCCTCTAAGGACTGGGAGTGAAACTTTGGGGGTAGGGACAGCAGCTGAGCTCCCAGACACCCTTATCAGTCCTCTAGAGAAAACTGCAGGCAGACATGAGACTGGGCTCTGCAACAGGCGTGATCTGGGCCATTCCAGCCAAAGGTCAGTCCTCAGTAGCTAGCTGCAACTGGCTTGGCTCTGGACCCTGCCTGCCCATCCCCCTACCCTTTCTTCCCCTGAGAGCCAGGAATAAAAAGGATCTTGGCTGGCCACACTTCTGGCATGGGCTCAGGAACACGTGTGCAGACCTGTGTGTATGTCTATATATATGCTTCTGCAAGAACATCTATATTTGTGTGAAAGCATGTACATCCCTGTGCATGAGTCTGTGAGTGCATGCCTGTGCACTAGTGCGTGTGCACCACATGCATAGTCACGCCAGTGTGCTCCTGTGCCCCTATGTGTCTGAGTGTGTATGGCTACGGGTGTGACTCTGTGCATGTTTATCGGCAGGCGGGAGTGTCAGCCCCCTTGAGCCCTGTTAAACAATGCCATCCGGTTCTTTGGGATTCCCCTGACCCTGTTCCCTGCCCTCACACACCAATGCTCTCACTTGAGTGAACAGCTTCTGGCATCCAGTCTAAAGGGAGTCTCGTCTCTTCTCTCATCAACCCAGTGCTTTGCAGGGAGATCTAGAATCCTGAAATTATCAGGATGAATCTAAGGGTGGTGAAGGAGACACTGGAATGCCCCATCAGATTCCCTTTTATCATTCTGTGTACACCATTCTATTGGCTTTTCCTGCTAACCATCTGCCTATGCAACTCTCCTGGCTTGCCTTATACTACCAAAGACACTTTTTCTCATGTGCAGACAGGATGGTAAATGTCTGGGAGTTACGTCACCCCATTCTCCCCTCAGGTGACCCTCAGACTAAATGGTGAAAGGCACCTGACTTGCTTTCCTTTGGAACAAACTCTGGAGCAAAAGTGACCCCTTGGAGCTCCCCTGAGGGATCAGGCTAAGGCTGCACTGAACTTGAGTCACAAGTTTGCTTAGCTTTTCCCCTTCCCTGCCCTGCTTTCCCAACCCCTTCTTTAGTTTCTCTCACGGGCATTTCTTTCACAATCCAGTAATCTCAGGGTCTGCTTCTAGGGTGCCAACCTTAGACAGAGAGGATGAGCCCAGAAACCATGAACCCTGACTATATCCCTGCACCCCTACCAATGCACAAAGAGGACACCGAGGCTTAGAGAGGGGGTGTGTATCTACAGAGGCCCCTCTTCACATGCTATGCTTTCTCCCTTCATCTCCATCACCCACCTTACCACCACCTCCCCTGCAGGCCCCAGGTCCTCTCTCCAATGCCCCCAATATCCTTGGGTTAGGAAAGTTTCTTGAGCCTTCTTGGATCTCCCAATCTTGGGGTGCCCCCTCATCTCTCCTTGGAGAATGAAGCAGTCAGGACTTAAAAGCGAAACGAGAAAAAAAAAAAAAGAGAGAAAGATAGAGAGAGAGATCTGAAGACGGGAATCTGCAAGGCAAGAATTCCTCTGGCAGTGCTCTGTCACTGTCTCCAAGTGGGGACAACGGGAGGCGAATGGGTTTGGGTGACAAGATCTCACTTCTTATTCTCAGATGAGGCCGTGTATGGTATAAAAGGTTCTGCTCTGGAAATCGAGAGACCTGGATCCCAACTTCAATTCTCTTATCACCTGACGGAATAACTTGAAAGGAGTCAACCCTTCCAAGCTGAAACTTTAAGAGTTTCAAGAGTCAAAACAGCTGAGTCAATGCTCTGAAGGACTCTATTTCCTCCTCTGTAGAACAGCAGCAGTGGAGCACAGAGAAGCAGAGCATTTTGGGGACGAGATGCCAGCCTCAAATCCACTTCCTAGACACAGGGCAATCTCTTCAAATAAGCGAATCACTTACTAACCCCATCTGTGCCTTAGTTTCCTCATTTGTCAGTGGAGATGATAGCAGGACTGACCTCAGGGGTTGTTCTGAGGATTAAATGGAATAATCCTGCACATAGAGCCTTTTGCAGGTCCCAAGCACACAGCGAGCTTTGGATATCTGGTGGCTATTTTTGCCCTTGTTATGTATCATTCCAGAGTTGTGTAACCTGTGGCCTCGCCAACTTGACACAACTCCTATGCCCTGTAAAAGTCAAAGGACATTTCACAGAGGAGACAATGTCTGGCAGAAGTTTAAAGGGTTCCCTTCTCCCAGTCCCACCTGCCCTGCCTCTAATGCCTTTCCTGGCTTCAGAAAGAAGAAACAGATTCCCCAGGGGCTCCAGGCACAAGGCCGGGACCCCTGATGAGCTAATCCAGGTGGGATGAGTATGTGTCTCTATCCTGACAGGGTCTGCTGAATAGCACTGCCAAATTCTATTTCCTTTCCATTTAGTGAAGTGGATAGAAATAATGCAGGCTTAACCTTTTCCCACTTTCCCTGCCAGCATTTATTCAGAGACGGTTTTGTTGTTGTTACTGATTTTGCTGTTTTTGTTTTATTGTGATTCTTCAGGTTAGAATACGTATTTATTTTGTAGTATTTCTTTAAATTTTTCAAAATTATGGTGAAATATAAGTAAGATAAAATTTGCCATTGCAGGCTGCGCGTGGTGGCTCACGCCTGTAATCCCAGCAATTTGGGAGGCAAAGGTGAGCGGATCATGAGGTCAGGAGTTCGAGACCATCCTGGCCAACACGGTGAAACCCTATCTCTACTAAAAATACAAAAATAAGCCAGGCATGGTGGTGTGTGCCTGTAATCCCAGCTACTAGGGAGGCTGAGGCAGCAGAATCGCTTGAACCCAGGAGACGGAGGTTGCAGTGAGTCGAGATTGTGACGCTGCACTCCAGTCTGGCGACAGAGGAAGACTTTGTCTCAAAAAAAAAATTCCTGTCAGAACCATTTGTAAGAGCACAGTTCAATGGTGTTGAGCACATTTGCATTGTTGGGTAACCTTCAACAGCATCCATCTCCAGAATGCTCTTTACCTTGCAAAAGCAAAACTCCATTAAACAATAACTCCCCACCCCCTCCAACCCCCTTGTCTTCCCTTTTTTGTTGTTGTTGTTGATCAGTGCAAGAATTGGCTTTTGTAGAGTGATCTCTTTAATAAATATTTACCAGTGGTTTCCTGACCTGGCATTGTACTGGGCCTGGAACGCAGGGGGAACTTGGGGCTTATCATTAGCTCTGAAGGTTTAGGATTCTATAAGACTGAAAAAAATGGAGGAAAGTTTTTTTCATGTGTTCATTCAGCAAAATGTTCCTAACCTTATCAGGCCCATGAGACCAGGAAGCAGCAATGGAAGATATACACTCTCCTTGCCCTGGAGGTACTCATGTCCAATGCCAGAGTAAAGGAGCTGGTGTGACCGGTGGCTATCTGGGCTCTGGGCTACCCCTCCCCATGCTTCTCTGCTTAACCAAATCCTACCCTCACACTAGCAGAGTGAAACACAAACTGCTATGGAAATGCAGGGGTGCAACCAACCATAGGTGTGCCGGGACCATGGAAGGTTGAGGGTGAAGAAGAGCTCAGAAAGGATTCATCAAAATTATGTATGTTTGAAAGGACACTATTGAGAAATGTAAAAGATAACCCATAGAATGGGATAAAATATTTGTAAAGCAAATATCTGATAAGGAACTGGTATCTACAATATATTTAAAGTCTTGCAACCCAAAAGTAAAAAGACAACCCAATTAAAAATGGAAAAATCTTGCAACCCAAAAATAAAAAGACAACCCAATTAAAAATGGACAAATACCCAAATAGGATGTATAAATGCCCAGCAAATACACCAAAAAAATACTAAACATTGGCCTGGCACAGTGGCTCACACCTGTAATCCCAGCACTCTGGGAGGCAAAGCTGGGAGAATTACATGAGGCTAGGAGTTTGAGACCAGCCTGGGCAACAGAGTGAGACCCCCCCACCCATCTCTACAAAATTAAAAAAAAAAAAAAAGAGAGAGAGAAATTAGCCTAAGGACAATGGCCCATACCTGTAGTCCCAGCTACCCAGGAGGCTGAGGTGGGAGGATCACTTGAGCCCTCCGGACGTCGAGGCTACAGTAGGCCATGATTGTCTCACTGTACTCTAGCCTGGATGACAAACTGAGACCCTGTCTCTTAAAAAAAAAATTGTCCAATGTCATTAGTCATCAGAGAAATATGAATTAAAACTATAATGAGATACCACTTCATACCTATTAGAATGGCTAGAATAAAGAAGTCAGGTAATAACAAGTGTTGTTGAGGATGTGGAGAAATTAGAACCTGAAACACAAATCATGGGAATGTAAAATGGTGCAGGCAATTTGAAAAACAATCTGGAAATTCTTCAAAAATTTAAGCATGAAATTGCCACTGGATTTAGCAATTTCACCCAGAAGTTTATTTTCAGAGAAATGAAAACATAGTCACACAAAAATTTGTACACACAGGTTCACAGCAGCATTATTCACAACAGCCTAAAGAAGGAAACAACCCCTATGTCCATCAACTGATGAACAGATAAAAATAAAAGGTGATAGGTTGGTGCGAAAGTCATTGAGATTTTTTGCCAATAGTATCCCTACAATGGACTATTATTTGATCATAAGAAGTAATGAAGTATTGATACAGAGTGCAACAATGATGAACCTTGAAAACATGCTAAGAGAGAAACCAGAAACAAAAGATCACATTTCACAATTCAGTTTAACTATTTCAAAGTGTACAATTCAGTGGCATTTGCAATGTTGCACAAATAATACTAATATCTAGTTCCAGGATCATGCCTATTCTCCCTTTCCTCTAGGCCTTGGCAACTACAGCTTTCGGTGTGTTTCTGTTTTGTTTTTTTGAGATGATGAAATGTTCTAAACTTGATTGTGGTGATGGTTGCACAACTCTGTACACATACTAAAATCCATTGAATTGTATACTTTAAATTGGTGAGTTGTGTGGTATATGCATTAAATCTCAATAAAGCTGTTAAAAAGAAACGTTGAGAAGAATCCTCTGACATCCCAGTCTCTCCCCTCAGCACAAGTTAGCAGTGGCCAACAACTAGAAAAATTTGCAAACATGGCAACAACAAAACCCAAACCTAGCTCAATTCTGACTAGATCAGCTCAAAAACCAGACTAAGAGAAAAAGAGGCATGCCCATTCCAAGCATAAATTCTATTTATCTCAATTTCTTCTCTTTTTCTATACGTGATATTTGACATTCCATCAAAAAACAGGTGATAATCTCAAGAAATAAAACACACAGAAGAACCAGACTGAAAGATGAGTGAAACTATAAGATGTTGGGGCTGAGTGTGGTGGCTTATGTCTGTAATCCCAGCACTTTGAGAGGCCGAGGTAGGTGGATCACCTGAGGCCAGGAGTTCGAGGCCAGCTTGACCAACTTGGTGAAACCCTAACTCTACTAAAAATACAAAATTAGCTAGGCATGGTGGTACATGCCTGTAATCTCAGCTACTTGGGAGGCTGAGGCAGGAGAATTGCCTCAGTGATTCTCTTGAACCCAGGAGGTAGAGGTTGCAGTGAGCTGAGATCACACCATTGCACTCCAGCCTGGGCAACAAGAGCAAAACTCCATCTTAAAAAAAAAAAGATAAAGAAGTTGGAACCATAAGACAAAGGTTGTAAAATAACTACGATTAATAAGTGAAAGGATCCAGTGGAAAAGGTAGACAACCTGAATGAACAGATGGGGAATTACAGCAGAGAGATGAAAACTATTTTTTAAAAAAACAGTCAAATGAAGTGCTAGAAATAAAAAATAACATATCAAAGATCAGTAAGTCTTTCAATGCTTAGCAACACAAAGATAAAAAACAGTGTGTAATGGACACAGAGAGGGGAACAACACACACCACAGCCTGTTGGGGGATGGGAGACAAGGGGAGGGAACTTAGAGGATGGGTCAATAGGTGCAGCAAACAACCATGGCACGTGTATACCTATGTAACAAACCTGCACGTTCTGCACATGTATCCCAGTTTTTTTTCTATCTTTAAGAAGAAATAAAAACGAAACAAAACAAAGCGAAACAAAAAGAGTGTGTATGGGTTGGGGGTTGGGGGTGGCGGGAAACAGAGCATCTAAGACCTGTAGAACAATACCAAACAGTGTATATGTGTGTGTAATTGGAGTCCCCGAAGGAAAAAAGAGAAGAAAAAAGAAAATTCAAAGAGACAACAGCTGAGAATTTTCCAAATTTAATAAAAGACAACAAATCACAGACCTAAGAATTCCAGAGAACCTCAAGCAGGATAAATACAAAATATATACTCACGTAGTTCCAAAATCTGCCAAAAAACAAATATTAAGTAAATTTTAAATAGTAAATATAAAAAGTAAATATTAAAGATAACCAGAGAAAAAATGAAATATTACATACAAAAGAACAAAGATAATATTTACTGCAGATTCTTGTCAGAGTTTTTGCAAGGCAGAACACAATGGAGTGACATCCTTACTAAAGGGAAAAAGCTGTCATCTCAGATTTCTATTCCCAGGGAAAAGGCCATTTCAAAATGGAGATAAAATAAAGACTTTTAAGACAAAGGCTAAGAGAATTCATTGCCAGCAGAGCTGCACAACCAGAAATGTTAAAGGAAGTTATTTAGGTGAAATGCATGTAATACCAGATGGAAATTCAGATTTACATAAAGAGATGAAGAGTGCTGGGAACTGTAAAAGAAAACGAAGGCCAGGCCTGGTGGCTCACACCTGTAATCCCAGCACTTTGGGAGGCTGAGGCGGGTGGATCACCTGAGGTCAGGAGTTCGAGATCAGCCTGGCCAACATGGTAAAACCCCATCTCTACTAAAACTACAAAAATTAGCTGGGTGTGGTGGCACATGCCTGTAATCCCAGTTGCTCCGGAGGCTGAGGCAGGAGAATTGCTTGAACCTGGGGAGCAGCGGTTGCAGTGAGCTGAGATCGCCCCACTTCACTAAAGCCTGGGCAAAAGAGTGAAACACTGTCTAAAAAAAATAGAAAAAAAATAAGATAAGTATAAAAGACTGTATTCTTATTTTTAATCACTTTACAAGATAATTGACTGTCTAGAGCAAAAACAGTAATAATATATTGTAGAGTTTATAACATCTGTAGAAATAAAATGTATAACAAAATAGCACAAAGGCTAGGAAGGAAGAGGTGGACATACTATACAGTTGTGAGGTTCTTACCCTACAAATAAAATAGTACGTTAGCATTCAAAGGCAGACTAATAAATTTAAGATGCATATTATAAACCCTAGGTCAACCACTAAATTTTTTAAGAGTATAACCAATGACCCAGCAGTGGAATAAAATGGAGTAACAATAAAATACTAATTAATCCAAAAGAAGACATGAAGAGAAGAAAAAATGATAAAAGATCAGATAGGAAGAGTCAGAAAAAAACTAGCAAGGAGGTAGATTTAAATTCAGTCATATCAATAATTATATGAATGGTAAAGGTCTAAATACCCAATTAAAAGACAAACTGTCAAATTTTATTTTTTCAAAAAGACCCAACTATTTCTCTTTC